ACTCACACCAATGATGGGGCACTATTCCTCCCCCCACTGACACCAATGATGGGGCACTATTCCTCCCCCCACTGACACCAATGATGGGGCACTATTCCTCCCCCCACTGACAATGATGGAGCACTATTCCTCCCACTGACACCAATGGGGCACGATTCTTCCCACTGACACCAATGACGGGGCACGATTCCTCCCACTGACACCAATGATGGGGCACGATTCTTCCCACTGACACTAATGATGGGGCACTATTTCTCAATTTTCATATATACTGTATGTCTTTAAAAATACATTTAATCTACATTTTTGGAATGCATTTACAAATATATGTAAAAATATGTTAAAATGACTTTTTTATATGTTAAAAAAATCCAAAGAATAGATTTAAAAATATATATTTGTAAAAATATTTTTCATATATTTTGTAATATATAAAAAATGCATTTCAACATACAGTGTGTGTGTGTATATATATATATATATATATATATATATATATATTTATTTATTTATTTATTTATTTTTTTTTATATATATATATATATTGAATACGGCCAAAATTGGAGTATTTCAAATATATGTCAATGTATTTGGGAATAATATTTTTGAAATATATTTAAAATATATTTTTCCTCCATGTGGGCTTTAAGTGCTGATATGTGTACTAAAGAATATTTGATTCTCAGGTTTCATTTAGGCCTGGTTCACACCTATGCAGGTTGCAATCTGCTGTGAGAAAAAGTGTCCCTGACCCTATTCAAAAACACAGCGGCTGAAAATGCTTAGATGTGAACGTGTCCCATAGGAAACCATGTTAAATGAACTGTAGTGAGTTTCTGCAAAAAGCAGTGAAAATGCATTGGTGTGAACCAGGCCTAAAGGAAACCTGTACTGAGAGGAATACAGGGCCCATCTCTGGCTTCAATACTTTGATTTTCTAATTTTGCAGGCTTGTTCTAAATAAGTGAATCACAGAGTCAAATTAGAAATTTTGATCTGCACGTGTGCCAGGTCTGCATTTTACATATTATTAAAGAAAGAAATTACTAAAAGGCATTGAATTGGCGACTTAATATTAGGACCTGCTCACCTGTACCCACATGGCTGTCAAATTGCGAAGAGCAACTGTGTCCATGCAACCTCTTTGTCCCCATAGACTTGAATAGGCTGCCTGTACGCAGTACCTCATAGCTCAAACTGCATAAACACACTGCCTATTCACGGATTGCGGGTCTCGGTGCTTCTGCGCATGAGATAGGGTTTCCACCTCATCCCTTTAAACCCAAACACATATTAATTATACAGGTTCTGAGGGTAATTTAATGAAGATAAGTGACTAAGTGACTTTAATTACCACCTTAATCAGCCAAAGAACCTATGTAAATAATGTGTTTGGTTTTAAATTGATGAGGTTGCAACCCTAGCATTAGACCTACAAGAAGAGGATAGATCATCAGTCACCTGCTCAAAAAGAGAAAGCAGCAGGGACCAGTCTTTATTACAGAAAACTACTGCAAAGAGGCAAAGTGCTTGAGTTGTTTCATTCCCAAAAAACACAGGTCTAGAAGAAATACACAAAGGTAGCCATGATTCAAATAAGAATCCACATGGTTCTTGAATGTAGACAATTTTTGTTTAGCCTTTTATTTTAGTTTTATGGCTAATACAGAACTGACATAGACTATGTAAGAGAACACGTCTATTTTGAAACTTCATGACTCATTTCTCATCTTACCACAATTCTCCACATAGAGGATTACACATCCTATTGTAAATGATAAGATCTCAACCTAAAGTGTACATACACCTACAAGCACATCAAATAAACTCCAAATGCAGAAAAGCATAATTTCTCGAAGATATCAAAATAATAAAAGTAACAACATCATTGATGCAGCTCAACCAACCCTAATCATAATCATAGTTATATATCATTGCTAAAGGAAAGCATGCTTTTTAAATAACAAACACACAATGCAAGGTCAAACTTGGACAAAAACAAATATGTATATGTATACAAATAGCACCAAAACTGATTAACATAAATCACAACTACAATGTAGTTATAGCAATATAAATTAATTAGAAAGCTATCATGCTGTTGTGGGAATAAAATGAAAAAGCATAACACAGAAACAAATTAAAAGAAAAAAATAAAAATAACCAATTACAAACATAACCTGGAATAACCTCATTTTCTCATAGAAACAATTACCCAGTCCCACAATCTATTAACAGAAGTGGAAAGTGCATCATAAAATTTGCAATTTGCCCATGTAGACAAAGCAGCAAGTTCACTTAACTTCACCTCTCCCAGTCAGCACTCTCTCGCCTTACTTTTTTCCACTTTGTTCTGCTGCTAGTAGTGAAGAGAATTATAGCTGGTACTTTTACATATGGGGGATTGCATGGACTCATTTCCTCTCCCCCACATGTATAAATACATAGAAGACAAATATTCTTTAAAAACATGGGTATTCCATAATATGCAAAATAATAGTATATCTCCAGGTACCCATTTAAAGAAAACAATGAGCAATACAATAGTGATATCACCAAATCTCACTCCAAATCTCCTAAGTCCTCATGCACACTGGACTGGACTGCCGCTGTTTTTGGCTTTTGACGTGTTTTTCTACAGCCAGTAAACTCCCCAGCATGTTCTCCTATGTGTCCATGCACACATAAACTGTAATCAACATTTTTTGTCAGGGAAGTTTTTTGGCTGGAAAAAAAACCCAGAACTAGTTATTTTCCAGAGGAGTTTAGCTGTAAAAATGCTCTAACACTCAAAAATGTGGCAAATCAGCAGGATCTACCGCTGTTAGAATAAACTAATCATTGGCTGCATCCCCTGATAGACAAACGTTTTCCAGCATGTCCCTTTGACAGAAGTCTATCAAGAGATCAACTTCTTTCTAGCAGTGACACACACAGATAGAAATTTGGTTGGTCCCTGCTGAACCAGCTAATTTTCAATCAGTGCCTTAGATCTCACATTGCAGATATACTACTATGAGTCTATATATTTTGTCTTGGTGTACTTTGATATCATATTTTATAAAAACCTGCCTCACTTTAAAAATTTGGTGCACACTACCTATTATGACCAATATTGATGGTTCCTTTTTATTGGACAGGTCTCCTTTTAAAGTTCAGAAGTAGCCAAAACTTTTTTGTCGCGTCTTGTCCTGTTGAAAACCACTCACTCTCAGTTCTGCATTCCTGAAGTATTTACTTTTTTGTTTTTAATATTATTATAAGAAGAGTTTGGTCTTAACAGTGCTGCTGATTTCAATATGGGTGACAAAGCAGGGTGTGACCAAAAAAGGTATATGAAATGGGCTTATCAAGTTTAAATTATATAAGTGGTTGAAAAAAAAGTTTAAACTTGTTTTTGAATCATGAGTGCACCAAAGATTCACGGTTTTAAAAACCTAGATAAACCAGTATTGCTGCCTTTTAATTAAAGGAACACTTTGAAAACACATCAGATCTCAATGAGGAAAATATTATGCTGCATATCTATACTGATATGGACTGGGTAATGTGTTAGGAATGTAAGGATGCCCCATCGTTTGATGGAAATGAAAAGTATCAACCTGCAGAGGACTGAATTCAAAGACACCCCAAAAATCAAAAATGAAAAAAATGATGCAGCAGGCTAGTCCATTTTGCTGAAATTTTTATTGCAGCAACTCAGAATGGTACTCAGTAGTTTGCATGGCCCCCATGTGCTTGTATTCATGCCTGACAATGTCGGGGCATGCTCCTAATGAGACGATGGATGGTGTCCTGGAGTATTTCCTCCCAGATCTGGAACAGGACATCACTGAGCTCCTGGACAGTGCAACCTGGTGGTGTCAGACGCACCAAAACATGATATCCCAATGGTGTTCTATTGAAATTAAGTTAAGGCCAGCTTGGGGGCCATTCATTCATGCATACTCTCGCTACATGAGGCCAGGCATTGTCGTGCACCAGGAGGAACCCAGGACCCACCAGCACCAGCATAGGGTCTAACATTGGGTCCAAGAATTTCATCCCAATACCTAATGGCAGTCAGGGTGCCATTGTCTAGCCTTTAGAGGTCTGTACGTCCCTCCATGGATATGCCTTCATAGACCATCACTGGCCCACCACCAAAACAGGTTATGCTGAATGTTATTACAGGCAGCATAATGTTCTCCACGGCTTCTCCAGTCCCTTTCAGGTTTGTCACATGTGCTCAGGGTGAACCTGCTCTCATCTGTGAAAAGCACAGGGCGCCAGTGGTGGACCTGCCAATTCTGGTGTTTAATGACCTATGCCAATTGAGCACTGTGGTGCCAGGCAGTGAGCACAGGGCCCACTAGAGGATGTTGGGCTCTCAGGCCACCCTCATGAATTCAGTTTCTGAATGTTTGGTCAAAGACATTCACACCAGTGGCCTGCTGGAGGTCATTTTGTACGGCTCTGGCATCCTGCTCCTCCTTGCATAAAGGAGCAGACACCGGTCCTGCTGATGGGTTAAGGACCTTTTACAACCCTGTCTAGCTCTCCTAGAGTAACTGCCTGTTTCCTGGAATCTCCTCCATGCTCCAGAGACTGTGCTGAGAGACGCAGCAAACCTTCTGACAATGGCACGTATTGATGTGCCAACCTGCCTGTGCAACCTGTGCTTGCGCAATCTCTATAGGGTGCAGGTATCGTCTCATACATCCAGTAGTGACACTGACCCTAGAAAAATGCAAAACCAGTGAAAAACAGTCAGAAAAGGTGAGTAGGGAAAAAAGTGGCCTCCACCTGTAAAACCATTCCTGTTTTGGGGGTCCTCTCATTGTTGCCCGCTCTAGTGCATCTAGTGCACCTGTTAATTTCATTAACACCAAAGCAGCTATATATATATATATATATATATATATATATATATATATATATGTGTGTGTGTGTGTATTATATAAAAGTATTGAGTGAACTAAAAATGAATAATCTGCATAATTAATTGATTTCTCTTATAGGTACAGAAGTGTGGTCACCAAAAAGAGGACCTGTGTGTGTATTTTCTTGTCCTGGACTTTGTCAGCAGCTGGGGCACTAGTGCCGATGTTTGGATGGAACAACAGGTCTAGAGTTAAAGAAGAAGAAAATAGTACCTTTAAATGTATGTTTTCCAGTGTCATGAGATTTGACTTCCTTGTTTACTTTTACTTTTTTTGGTTGGGTTATTTTCCCCTTATTCACAATGACAGGTTTATATATAAGAATCTTTCAGTTTATAAAAAAGCACATGAAACAAAATATCTCCAGCTTCCAGGACAAAACATTTGCTTATGGAAAAGAACATAAAACAACAACTTTCCTATTCTTGATAATGGGCCTGTTTGCAATCTGCTGGTTGCCGATATCCATCCTAAACTGTGTAACCTATTTCTATCCTCCTGTTGTACAATCTGGTGCTTTCCAGCCTATTCTGTTCCTCAGCATTCTGCTGTCCCACTTCAATTCAGTTTTGAACCCTATTATCTATACTCTGAAAATTAGGAAATTCAAGTATACAATCAGGAACATTATTAACAGACATATCTTTTGTAGGGATGAAGCAATTGAGGCTTCCAGTGTAGAAAACACTCAAGAAAAGATAGTACAAGGATAACTTACTTGGTTCAACCACCTACAAATAAGCTACTTAAAAGAATGGAGTTTATATTGCTCAAGGCAGATGGCATTCCTATTGTTTTATTATTATTATACAGGATTTATATAGCGCCAACAGTTTGCTCGGCACTTTACAATATAAAGGGAGACAATACAGCAACTATACTGTTCAATACAAGAGGGTTAGGAGGGCCCTGCTCCTTGGAGCTTACAATCTAAGAGGCAGGGGCTTCTAGTACAAAAGTTAATAACTGTGGGGGATGGGCTATTAGGAGAAAAAGAAGATTCCTTAATACTTGCAAAAATATAATATTGTATATGCATACATTTATTCAGACAGCATCTTGCAAGGATTTTGTTTGTACAGCAAGGAGCAAAAAAATCAAATGATTCAAATGTTGGTTAGCTTACCTAAAGAACACAATTTTATTGAATAAAGGAATGAAAAATAAACCTATACGGGTGTAAAAATTGCATCGGTTTACAGAAGTTTATAGATAAATGTTTATGTATTGCTTTTTGTAACTGTACTTAGAACACATCTACAGTACTACCAACAGTCCCCCTGCTCACTGTAATAAGGAATACTGAAAAGAGTCCATATACCATGTTAAATTATTCATTAATTTATTACATCTCCTACAAAATCCTTTGCTATGGTACAAAAGTCTATGTAATGTAATGTAAGTCTCTGTATGTAAGTATACCATCTTAATTACTATTGCTTGGACATCTACAGTGAATTCATGAAGTATTCAGACCCCCTTCACTCGTTTCAATTTTGGTATGTTGAAGCTGGATACCGTTGTTTAAATTCATTTTTTTCCCCTCACTAATCGACACTCAGTAACCCGTAATGACAAAGTTAAAACAGAATTTTAGAAATGTCTTTGAATTTATTAAAAATACAAAAAATGAAATATCACATTGTCATAAGTATTCAGACCCTATGCAACAACACTTGCAATTTAGTTCTGGTGCCTTCCATTTCTCTAGATCGTTGCTGAGATGTTTCTTTGCCTTGATTGGACCTGTGGTACAAAAACTGAAGATTCAACAGGAAGAGAGGATATCTTTCCAATCTGAGCCCCTCTTAGGCTAGGTTCACATCTCCACGTTCCTGTGGGCCGTGTTTTGCGTGGACACGAGAGCCCGTTCATTTGAATGGACTCCTGTGCCCTGGGATACGCAGGGAAGAAGACCCTGCACGTCTTTGGAACACGCAGCCCGCACGGGAACCTCGGTTCCCACTATGCTTGCGATTTCCAGTGCGGGCGGCAAGCCATTAGAATGAATGGCACCCACCCGTGGGTCTGCATTCCTCTGTGTGGGTGGTGTGGCTGCACAGATTTTTGTGTGGATCCGCAATGGCACCACCCGCACAGATGTGAACCAGGGGTCAGATGGAAAAATGAGAACCTGCAAAGAAAATGGGGCTGAAGCCAAAGGAATCCAGAAAGAGTTACAGTCATTTACTAAGGTGTAAGATCTAGCTGATTGGAGCCTTAATGATGAATATGACAAAAACTTGCGAATAAAGGTGAAATGTGTGTACCAAGATGAAAGTATGTCAGAATTAATACCATCTGAGAGAAAGGAAGAAATACTTTATACCTTCATGCTGTCTGAAGTAAATTATATGTAATTTTAAAAAGACTCAGTTGCACTTTGAAACATTTCACCGAGATTAACTACTGTTTTCCTCTAATTTCATCCAATCAGTATGAAGCAGGGATTGTCATAACTAAATCATAACCATCAATAAGAGCTTGTTCACATGTACAGCTATACTGTTGCCCCTCTTTTCAGAAGGGATTTGACAGGCACCAAGGAAGGCAATATGGCTTTAAACTTCAAAATGCCAACCCACCAGGGGCGAACTGACCATTTAGAAACTCGGGCACTGCCCAAGGGCCTGGGGTCAGTAGTGGGCCCCATGAGATGCACCTGGTACCTTTTTCATAGGCTTTTTTGAGTTTGGGCAAGGACACAAGGGCCCCATGATCCCCTATTGCCCAGGGGCCCCATGAGTTGTCAGTCTGCCCCTGCAAACCACCATGCAGCAATGCTAACGTCACGGCTCAACTTCCTACTTTTACAGCCCCCCCCCCTGACCTTCCATGCAAACAAGCCCAAAGAGAAAGCAGGCATTTGGTTTTAAAACATTCTATAGGCGATAGGGGATACCAATCCAAGTAATTTCAGCTCTAGTGCTACAATCAGTTTGGGAGACATTAGTGAAAACTTTTTTTCTTTGCTCAGTGACAATAAAGCTCTGCAGATGCCTGAAGCAGCCAGTAAAGAGATACAATTTAAGGAAACACAGTCAGTTTACAGGAATAGGCTTCTAAGATACTGCATTGCGCACAACAACATTGTTGAAGTATCTCAATTATTTTAGCTGATTTCCTTTTCTACATTGTTGTTTATACTCAATAGAATAATTTTCTTATTTGTCATCACTTTAACCACTTGCCCTCCAGAGGATTTACCCCCCTTCCCGACCAAGCAATTTTTTGCGATGCAGCACTGCGTTATTTTAACTGACAATTGCGCAGTCATGCAATGCAGTACATAAATGAAATTTATGTCCTTTTTTCCCCCACAAATAGAGCTTTCTTTTGGTGGTATTTGATCACCTCTGCGTTTTTTATTTTGTGCACTATAAACAAAAAAAGACTGACAATTTTGGGAAAAAAAAAACAATATTTGACTTTTTGCTTTAAAACATCCAGTAAAAAATTTTTAAAAATCTAATTTCTTCATAAATTTAGGCCACAATGTGTTCTGCTACATGTCTTTGCTAACCCCCCCCCCCCCCCCAATACATGTATATTAATTTGTTTATGTGAAAGTTATAGCGTCTACAAATGGCAGTATATATACTGGAATTTTTATTTTTGTATACTAGTAATGGCGGCAATCAGTGACTTACAGCAGTACTGTGGCAGGCATTCTGACACTGGGTGGGAACTGATTAACTGCCACTGACATTCCAATGACACATTAATAAAATAATATAAATAATAAGGCACTGACACTGTACTAATGACACTGGGCAGGAAGGGGTTAACATCTGGGGCAATCCAAGGGTTAACTGTGTGCTGTTTTACATGATGAACTGTGTGTTTTTTACTTGCTACTGTGGTTTACACACAGGTCGCTCCTTTGTCAGTTTTACATGGTGATCGCCGGGTGCCGGCTGACAATCTCTGGCTGGGACCTGGTGATTGACATACCTAGCCACCAATGATGAAGCAAATCATGGAAATGCAAATCACGTATATATATGTGATTTTGCGCAGCCCTGCTGCCCTGTAGCAGTAGATCTACTATAGGGCAGCGGGAAGGCAGTTAAAGGATAAATAATAAGGGATCCTCCTGCGCTCATGGGAATAATTGACAAAATACAGCTGCTGTCACTTAGCTGATACCAATAAGTGCAAAATAAAATTAAAAATTAGTGAAGCGCTTGTATCACATGAATACAATCATGTATCTCCATATAGTGTAATTATAAATCAAAGTGACCACTATATATAATAAATGTGTGTTGACTCCCTCTAGTGAAAAGAAAAAATAGTGTCAACCAAAATAGCTAAATAACACACATTAGGAAACTAAATATATAGTGCATAAATCAAATATAACGAACAGAATATATATATACGTGAAAACAGAATATTGGCCACATACAATGGTGTCTAAATTAGTTAAAGGATAAGTTCACTTTTCCACAAAAAATAATAAATGCACATTTTTTGCAGGTGAAAAAATTTTAATTTATTATTTTTTGTGTTAGTAGCCTCTAAAGCATTGCACCAGCAATCAGCAGATTGCTGATGCCTTGCAGGTCTCCTGCAGATTTGTCAATGTGTCTGCTTGCTCCTACATCCCATCGGGAACTGTAGTTCATTCATTCACAGAACACTGAATGAATGATGCGGCCATGTCATGAATGACAGAGCCCCAAACAGGCAAAAGTAACAGCTAGTATGGTGAACTTCTCCCCATACTTCTGTCATAGGGGGAAGGGGGTAGCAGACGGGAGCTGCAAGATCGGAAACATATTACATGTTCCACCCTAAAAACGTGTGGAATATGTAACTTTTTCCCAATGGTGAACTTATCCTTTAAACATGCAGGTTGATAATAAAATTACAATGGTAATACTACTGTCTATTACAGCAAATACACAAAGGTCAGTCCAGGTATTGGTGTTGGTTTCAGTTCTTTTTTTTTATTCTCTCACAAGATTGTCGTAGATGTATTTCCTTCTGCACAGCTGCATCCAGAAAGACAAAAGATGCAGGCTTGAACACAATCTGGGTTAAGAAGCCTCAGAACCTGTGTAATTATTTTGTGTTTGGATTTAAAGGGATGAGGTTGCAACCCTACAGTAGATGGAAACTGAAGAACAGATTTCTCTTGTTCAAACATTTTATTGGTTTTGAAACAAATGGGTAAAGACATTGACAGTTGGCATTAGACATTGTATTGGCTGCGAAATATAGGGGAAAATATATACAGTAGAATGTCTTTAAACAGAGGGGGAGAGAAAGTGTTTAAACAAACAATGTAACAAAGCTAATGGCTCTAGGTATACAGAAGATATTTTAGCAAAAGGTTAATAATATGCCAAAAAGAATTTGTTCAATGGGGATAAAGACTCTGCAGAGCTACGTGAGGAG